AAAGATCATTTCTCCGACTGTTTTGACGATTAAAGGTCGACTAATAAATCAAAATGTCGATAATCTTTGAACTCAAGTCACCCGGACGACAACAATCAACAAATTCACTCTGCAGTAACAACTACAACAGAATTCTAAAGCTCCATCAAAAATTTAATTAAATTCACCGAATGAAAGAATCGTAAACACGCGATTTTTTTTTCATTATCACTGGAGTTTTCTCCGAGCGTCTATCACCGGTCAGCCGTCATAAAACTCAAAACCTCGGCGGAGCTGACGTCAAACACGGGCAGGGGGAGGGAGGGGGGGGGGCAATCGCACTTGCATAAGCATTTCCCGAAATCGCGTGATGGGATACGTTTATGTCATCTTGTCACGGCTATAACGAGGTGAGTTTGTTAATAAAAGGATCAATTTTACTCGCAACGCTCCTTCATCAGTATCAGTACGGAGAGAGGAGGGGGAGGAGGGGTGGGGTGGGTGGAATTAAACCGGAGATCTCTCTTATTTCGCTCTGCGCTTTTAGTTTTCTCCGTTTCTAATGGTCTGGTGCGATGACCCCCCGAGATATCTGGAATGTCTTAATAGTTCTGCCGGAGTTATTGCGGATTGAAATCGATTTTTTGGGATCAGGGGACTGTTAAACGGTCGATGACCCAGGGGCAATTGGATTAATTATGATTATTGAGGGAAGGAAATACTCGAATGAAAATTTTTTCGATGGAATTGCCAGTTTTTTTGGTCAATTGAAAAATTCGAAATTGAATGAATGAATAAATAAATAAAATGATTAAGTAATTGATGTTTTGAGATTTAATGAATCTAAAATACTTTCTCAGTCCAAAATTTAAAAAAAAATAGTGATAATTTTCGTTTTCTTTTATTGAAAAATTATAAATTGAAAATTGAAATGAAAATTGGAAATTGGAAGGAAAAAGTGGAATAATTTCGTGAGGAAACAGAGTAGATTTGGTCTCACTCATCTTTATTTCTAATGATTACTTCATGTTTTGAGTTTTTACGAATATGAACTAGTTTCTCAGTAGAAAAAACTGCTTACTCCTTCGATATAATATGATATCTCGGAACAGGATATGCGATGAAGACATAAACGATACGGTTATTAAGGGGAAAAGTGTCGTCAGGGCACACGCGTGGCTGCACGACGTGCAAGGACGCCTCACCTCCGGGCGTTTAAAAATTTTCGTCTAAATTTTGCGCGACAAATTATCGAGATTTTCTACAAGTGTCGCTTGCACTAAAACTTCAGGGAAACTCAGCACTTAAAAATCCCTATTCCCTCGATTGTCTCGTAATTTGATGAAATTAAAAAAAAAATCGCTGAATTTAGTTCCATTTAATTTCATGTCGTTAAATCAAATTGTCCGTGAAATTACATTTTTCATCTCAACAATGCGAGGAATGGCGAAGAATGGAGAATCCTCGAGATGTAAATCAGTCAGCTCCACAAATCATTTGATCAATCTCGGAATTCCACTCACCCTCCTCGGTTTTGAATTCATGCGGCTCGTCCGATCCCCGCAATTGCAATAATTATTCCGTTTGACTTCGTGGAAATGCGGGAGTTAATGCTGGGAGATTCAGATCGTCAGTGGTAGTGTCCCTGGCCCCGTCCAATTGGACGTCTGCCCGGAGACACGTCTGCGACGTGTCGACTCCACCATTTCTTTCAAATTCAATTGTGTTGCCGCCGGTTTATTGAAATTCTATAGGTATCTCTGCACTTAAATTTCAAGATTTCCGATCACCAAATTTTTCCTTTCGAAACTATCAAATTTTTAAATTCAATGCCATGGAAACTAAAATAAAAATTCATATAGATCATAATCGTCTTTCAAATCAAAATTTGTTTACCATTTCAAAAAAATTATCGAGGTGAACAATTAATTATTCATGAATTATTTATGAAAAGTCGTTTTTCCGAAAATTTCTATCTTCAAATTTTTTATGAATACTTAAATATTTGAAAATGCTTCGAATGAAAAAATCAAATAATTTCCCCTCTCCGGGTTAGTGAGGGGGCGGGGATTCTACAAAATAAATTTCACTCGACAAAACCGTTTTCATACAAAAAAACAATTTCCGAAATGAGTTTTTATCATTTTATTCAACAATATAATTGATTTTCGATTTTCATTTCTCAAAAAACAAACGGGATTTCTCATGTCAATGACCCGAACATTGTCTCGCCCCCCATTACCCCCCCTTAAAACTCTCGAGATGCAAGAGAGACTGCACACGAATCTCCCTCTCGTATAAATATTTATTTCGGCCCGCAAATCATTTCGCAAAATGCCCCATCTCCAGAGAGAGACTTTCCCCTCTCTCTCTGCCTCACGTAATCGTAAGGAATCATCTAATTGACACTCGAGACCAGAGACGATTCATAACACAAACTCGTCTGGCAGATTTGTTTCTTTATCCCCGTATGTTTCTTATTTTTCCAGCGTCGTTCGAGCGCCGGACTTCCACTCCATCCTGGAGATTTTTTTCTGGGAATGATATTTATTCGGGGAAGAGGGGGGTGGACTGTCCCAGGTCGGAATTACACGGGAATTAATTTCATTGGAAGTGAATTGAATTGAGGTACTTCCTCAATGTTTATACTTTCGTTATTTTTTTTCCTGAAATTTATCTTTACATTTCTCGTTGGAGATCAGACCATTTCGCAATGAATTAGTGATTTAATTTCTGAGTATAAAATTATAATACTAATAATAATTTATTGAATTGTAATCAATAATGAATAAAAAATAAATTTTTCATAAAAAATTTTTTTTTTTAATTGTCATGAATTTATCGACGTTCTGCAGAATGAAATTTGAATATTCCTCACGTATTTGATCAACAAATTTTGCGATAAACATTTTAAAGAATTAGTGCAGACTCGACACCATCCAAATAAAATTTGGTATAAATTCTCAATAACAAAATATGAGCTTAACAATTTTCGAAAGCAAAAAATCTCGTCAAAATAACCCAAACAATTTCCTCAAAGCTCCAAACCCCATAAACTCTCCGAACTAATGACTCCTCGTCCATCCATGCAATTCAATAATTAAATTCCCTCAATAACATGAATTAAAAATCCAGTTAATTTCCCATTAATTCCCCCATAGCCCTCAAATCACAAAAAACCTTTTAACCACTCGCTGCCGGTAATAACCCGGTAATGCACGTGAGCCCAATAATTAAAGTATCAAACAGACCTGAACGAGACTAATATCAACTGGGCACACGATGCCTGGGAATGTCCAGGGCATTATCGGATTTTAGTGTCTGCGGACTATACTTTCACCTCCAGAGCTCATGTCTCATATCCTATCGACTTTTTCAGCCAGCATTAACGCAATAGACGTTATGGCATCAACGAGGCTCTTAACACTGTGCGCACTTTATGCATTCAGACTATTAATAGAATATTCAATTGGCGAGTCCAATAATAATTCTTGACCCCTAACCGCGAGTGCTATTCATTACGGATTATTTACTTTTGCTGCGGTTGTCTCACCCCGAGGGACGCGAATTTATGATAAATCACGCGGTTGGGGTGATCAGATGAAATTTACGGGGTTTCAGGGGACTCAAGTGGCACAGTCTCTGTAATCTTAAGTAATTTAAGAGGGGAGTCTAGTATTTTCGTTCAAAAATTCTATAGGAATCCTATTGAGATCCCGGGAGTTCGAAGAGGTTTCTCCCCACTTCGATAAAAATTAATAAGTTGTCAATTTTTTTAACAAAAGATGTTTAGATTTACACTTGCGATTCAATGTCTGATTTTTTTGTTCATTATTTCAGGGATTTTTATAAGAAAAATATCACCTTCCATTTGATTCTAGGTTTTTGAAGATTTTGCAATTATTTTATTGTTCAATTTTTGTGGGTCTAAATTTGATTTTATATTTTGAAAATAGTGGATACATTTCTTGAAAAACACTCCTCGAATACTTCGATTTTTCATATTTGAAAATTTGCAATTTTTGAAAATTCCTTTTTTTGCTAATAATTTATAAAAATTCTATGTCATACCGATAAGAACAAAATTTTCAACAGCTCTAACAATTAATTTCTTTATGCAAATTGCAATTGCATAAAGAAATGATCTACAATTTTTTCAATCTCATTTCCCGACATTTAATCTTAAAATTTGATTCTGATTCAATGAATTCATCATCAACTATATTTTATTACTCTACAAGCTCTCAATATCTCACCAATTCTTTATATACTCCGCCGAAAACAATCAAGAAATTCCAAAATTAAAATTTTCAAAAAATCGATTCAATTTAAACATCAGCATGTCCTCAATTACCACCCACGAGAGAGTTCCCCACCACTCTCGCTCCCTTATCTCCCCCCAATAAATCACCCATTCGTTGAAGTGCCCACTCGGTCCCCACAACTCCTCCACGAAGAACCCCCTGCCCGTCAACCTGGCACCAACATCCCATCGCATCTAATTCCACAATTGTGCTATCGCCGGTCTAACTTACACAAGTCGTTACACACCTGATCGCGGCAAACCAGTTGACCGGCAAAAATTCCCCTTTACCGCAGATCTAGTTCCCACCCCAGCGCGCAACTCAGTATGTTAATATAATTTAGTCATTAAGAACAGCGACGATAAGCGCCAACATTCTCCTATTTTAAAAAATCCCTCCGATTTTCCGTACTCCTGAATTAAATCAGAGTAAAAAAAATTTCCACACATTAATATTTCGCGTGAAAGCCGAGAGGCACATATGCGTGGTGTCTTACAACACGTGATCCTAATCCACTGACACCGGCAGAAATATGAGACTGCTTGACACGCATTTTTCAGCGGTCGTTCATTTCATAAAAGGCGAATAATAAAAAATTGAAACCGCCTTTGTTACGTTACAATGTCGAAATAAAAATCACTGTTTCGATGTAATCCCGTTGCATTTATTGGCAAGACAAGCGCGACAACGGAAAACCATCAGCCAAAAAGGACTCACCGTCATTAACCTCCGGCAACTCCTCAAGGGAAGTGCCCTCCGACTGCACATCAATAACTCGTAAATCGTCCTTGAAATCACGATGCAGTCGAGATGTATTTATCACCCGATTTCCATCATTTTTCATTGGTCCTGTGGTTTTTATACCGGTCCACAGTATCACGAGAAACACAACCAGCAGCACGATCACTAGACCGGCTGCGGTAGATGATACGCGACTCAATAGTCTTGACATTTCAAAAACTGTTACTGTTTTCTGATTTTTCAATTCACCATCTTGACATTGTCACTTGCAACTGATTTAAATCTCTCGACTCGACCACCTGTTCCCGTCAGGATTTCGTCATTTTGTCGTTATCCAGAAGATCCCGACGAATGAACTAAAATGATCCTCTGGATGTAATCATCTTCACTAAAAATTTTTATTCAACTCTCAGAGACTTTGATCCGCGATTTGTGTACAATTTGACAAGAGTTCGAGCATGGGAACCAGTTCGACAATCTACCGTCCCTCTGTCATACCACTGATCACTATTTCAATAACCACTGAGTTCACTGAAAATTTGTGTCCATTCAATCGAGCAGATAAATCAGGGAAAAATTGTGAAAATGACAGCGTCACGTTCTGATATTATTTGTAATTATTTACGGCTCAATGTTGTCCACGTTTTTTTCACTCGAGTAAAATTCAATCGATCAATGCGTAATCGAAGTTTTTGAATGGAGACGAGGCGACAGAATAATCTGGCTAACGATAAACCAATTTTCCGAGAGATTTTCAGTAATGAATGAATGACAGAATGAAATACTGAAGTGTGACAGTGTGACTGAGGACGAGAGGGGAGTCACAACCGGCTGGCTCCGCTCGCATGCACCGACTGAACTAAGTTCAACGGCGAATCCTCGTCTCCGATCTCGCGTACAACCCATTTATCCCCCCTCTCTCATTTTTTTCATTTTCTTATCCCCCTACCTCTATTTCTTTGGTTCCACTGTTCATTGTGCTGTCGTATCAGAAGCCAACATCCCAAACACCTGCACTCCGATAATCATATTCAAATGTACCTGCAAGAAGACTGGAATGAAAGGGCCTTCAGTTGACTAGTGAGGATAACACGAGTACTACGCGATTACAGAATTTTTTTAGGGAAGATAAATAATCCGAGAGTAAACGCGATTATCGGAAGATAAATAATTAACGAGACTGGGGACCGAAGAATTATCTCGAGTGCGGGAGTCACCATGCAGGATCAAGGAGAGGATTTGAAAAAGGAGTAATCACTCGGTCGGTAAAGCCACACTAGCTGGTGTTGTCACTGCTGGCGCTACTCCTGGAAGTGCCTGGAACCCGATGCAAGAATTATCATGACTGGGTAAAATTAATTGAGAGATATATGGTAACTTTTATATTCAGAGCATTCAAACACTTCGATTTATTCTGGTAAAAGAGTTACAAAATTATAAAAATATATATTATCTTGTGATATTCAAAGAAATAATAATTCAGGAAGTAATGAAAGGGGGTGAGGATAAATCAAACCATTCGATTCAGTAACAACATATTGATTACATGTTCACATATTTATTAATCGTAATCTTAAATTAATTTTAAATATGTACTGATCATGTGTGGGACACTGCCAGAGCACTTCACCGACTGCTGGCACAATGGATTTATTATCTTCAATCAGTACAGTAAAATATTACTTTGACAGCTGTTGGTAAATGTATCGAAGGTGCACACGCATAAAACGAAAGTTTTGTGTCCAAGGCACGATAAACTCGGGTGTAGGCTGATATACTCCCTCTGCGAAACGCACAATCATATCGTTATAAACAATATGACTCGAAGGCAAGACGTGACATTCTGGAAAATAAGGTCTCGTTGTTAAACAAAATAAAGCGTAATCGAATCTCATCGCAATGTGAAAATCAACGGGATTGCAGATTACGATTGAACAGCAGTATCAGACGTTTTTCAGTGAAATGAATAAAGTCAGTTTGATAATGAACGAAATTATCCATTGGAATACAGATATCTTTGGGAATTAGGGTCTGACTTCTGCTTCGGGGTTCCCCTGTTTTCATACTTTATTTTTCCAGATCGATCGGTGCACCTATTTTCCACTTCGTAATACTTGATAAGGATTAATTCTATTTATTATTCGTAATACTTAATTAGACTAGGAGCAAGTGTCGATTTCGGAATTTGAGAAATGATGAATTGTTTTTGCAGTAGTACCTCAGATTTTTTTTATCATGAGGTTGGGTGATAGAAATAGTCGGACCTTATCCGAGGTCTCGGTTACATCTGAAATTTCTCATTTCGCCGCTGCAAATTTATCACTTCGAAATCAGAGATGTTATTTTCAGTTGAGATGTCAACGCGATTACCGATTACGCTAAATAACGGCACGCATCGGGTGATATCGTAATGAAAAGTCCATTGTTATGGTAACATGCAACAAACAATACATTGTTATAAGCACGTCCTATCTTCGGATTAATCCAGCTTGAATCGTATAAAAGGAAAGACGACACTTGAGTGATCATTTGAATGTAGTGTGTTCAAACGAGTTCAACATGATTCGATTAAGCTTCATAGTTTTGGGAGCCTGGCTCAGCTGTGTCAATGGTGAATATTGATAGTAGCCTATTATACACCGTTAGGAATCCGTTTGAGTTCGATTGAGATTCGTATGACAATTCTTAAATTTCTGATATTGGATTTATTTATTTTTCCAAAAAATTATTCAAAGTTATGAAACCCTAATTTTCATTTGCGACCCGAGAAGTTTACAGTTGTGGATTTTATTGTTCATAAAATTTTCAACTGATGGCGAAAATTCTAGGAGATAGAATCTTCCACATCGAGATTAACGGAAATTTCAATAACACTTGAAATTTTTCCGATTTTCGCTGCGAATTATTGACAATTACTCAATAAATTTCGACTATTTGTTTTTCTGGTGTAGCACAGGCACAGGTACCCATAACAGCGGATAACAATCAACTAATTTATCAACCTGTCTATAATCCGTGGACATGTCCCACATGCTGTCAAAGGCCTTCATGCCAGTCATGTCTACAGGTAATATATTTTACAGATTTATTTTCATCGAGTATTCACTTGTTTTCTAACACAGTGATACTCTCATTTTAGACGGGCAGATCTGGATGTAACTGCGCTCGGGGATGCATGCCAAGAACGAATTGTCAATGTAAGTGTTTGATGCCATGTCGTAATATGAAAAGTGACCCTCCGTTATTAAATGTTGACAAACTGCCTGATGTAACTGATGGATCGAATATGAATAACAACGGAGCCAACTTCGCCGAAGAAGATGAGACAACTCCTGATCATTCTATCAATATTCATAAGTCGTCTGTCAGAAATGGTGAACTGAATCCAAATGTCAACATTACTAATCCTTCTGAGAAAAGACAACCGGACAATAAGGACATCAGAACCGGTAACTCTTCCAGTGAGATGAAGCCAATGGTAACCAATCTCGCCGAAGACGATCAAACAACTAATGGTCATCCTCTCACTATTGATAAGTCGTCTCCCAGAAATGGCAAACCGAATACGAATACCAATATTACTAATCCTTCTGAAGGCGGACAAACAATTACTCCTCAACCCCTTACTACTTATGAGTTGCCTGGCAAAATAGTTTCGTCGAATCCGGATATCAGAACCGATAACTCTTCCGCTAAAATGAAACCAATAGCAACCAACTTCGCCGAAGACGTTCAAACGACTACTGGTCATCCTCCCATTATTGATGAATCGTCTGTCACAAATTCCAAACCCAATGCGAATGTCGACATTACTAACCCTCCTGAGACAGAACAAACTAGAACTACTCATCAGCCTGTAACTCCTTATGAGTTGCCTGACAAAATTTCTCTGCCAACGGATGTCAGCGCCGGTAACTCTTCCACTACAGAGATGAAGCCAGTAACAACTGATCAACTTTTCGTCACCGTGAAGCCGTCCAGCGGAAATGGTAAATGGAATATGTCTCTCAAAGTACTTGCCTCTATCAATGGGGAAAAGCCAGTAGAACTTGGCCATGAGACGGTGCTAAACGTCTTATCTTGTTATCAGCCATGCGTGAAGGTAACATACTTTACATATTTATTCTCACCAAAGAATCGCTTTCATCTGACCACCGAAACATTCTGATTTTATATGTTCAAGCCTAATTGTAGCTGTGCACAGGGTTACGTAAATACCAAGTGCGTCCTCCCAAGGCCATGCCCTAATTTGAAAAGTGCTGATCAGAGTTCCCGTCAGAGTTCGACCGTCACAACTAGTCAATCTCTTGTAAATGACGCAAGGGACGATTCTTTCATGGATGGACAGGAAATTAATATTCCAGAAGATGCACTCGATATCGAGGCCCACACAAATAATTCACTTGGGGATGGAAACCAAATGTCATATAACCATACTGGTGGATCCACTATCAAGGTCTCCATAACTGTGTCTGAGGCACCCGTCATCGAGGTCTCCAACAGGCAAACTGAGGCACCCGCCCTCGAGGTCTCCAAAAGCAAATCCTCTGAGAATGGAAACAAAGGTTTAGATAACAATGCTAGTGGATCCCCTATCCAGAACAGCAAAATCATGCCTTCTGTGGGTACAAACGAAACGTATCATACCGAAGGCAATGGAACAGTTGTCGAGGTCAACAATACGGTATTTTTTGGAAGTGATAACCAAAGACCTAACGCTAAAACTGACGGAACCCCTATCGAAGGCAGCAGTACCGTACCTCCTATGAGTGAAATCCAAACGCCATCGACCAATACTGGTTCCTCCTCGACCACGGTCTTTCCAACTGTGGCGCCCGTCCTCGAGGTCTCCAAAAGCAAATCCTCTGGGGATGGAAACGAAACGTTAGATAATAATGCTAGTGCATCCGCTATCCAGAACAGCAAAATTATGCCTTCGGTGGGTACAAACGAAACGTATCATACCGAAGGCAATGGAACAGTTGTCGGGGTCAACAATACCATATTTTTTGGAAGTGATAACCAAAGACCTAACGCTAAAACTGACGGAACCCCTATCGAAGGCAGCAGTACCGTACCTCCTATAAGTGAAAACCAAATGTCATCAACCAACACTGGTTCCTCCTCTACCACGGTCTCTCCAACTGTGGCGCCCGTCCTCGAGGTCTCCAAAAGCAAATCCTCTGGGGATGGAAACGAAACGTTAGATAATAATGCTAGTGCATCCGCTATCCAGAACAGCAAAATCATGCCTTCTGTGGGTACAAACGAAACGTATCATACCGAAGGCAATGGAACAGTTGTCGAGGTCAACAATACCGTATTTTTTGGAAGTGATAACCAAAGACCTAACGCTAAAACTGACGGAACCCCTATCGAAGGCAGCAGTACCGTACCTCCTATGAGTGAAAGCCAAACGTCATTGACCAACACTGGTTCCTCCTCTACCACGGTCTCTCCAAGTGTGGCGCCCGTCCTCGAGGTCTCCAAAAGCAAATCCTTTGGGGATGGAAACGAAACGTTAGATCATAATGCTAGTGGATCTCCTATCCAGAACAGCAAAATCATGCCTTCTGTGCGTACAAACGAAACGTATCATACCGAATCATCACCGAATCGTACGGTACTATCCGTATCATCCCATATCATTGAACCCCATATCGCGGCCAACAGTACCGTATTTGCTACGGGTGATAACCAAACGCTGTATATGAACGATGATCCCGACACTATGGATCCCCTTCCAATTGTTATGACTACGAGTACGAACGTATCGCCTCCGACGAAAACTGAGGCAGCCGCCGTCGAGGACTCTAAAAGCGAGTCCTCTGAGGATGGAATCCAAGTGTCTCATGCCAATCCCGTCTCTGGTGCGAAGGCACACTCATTGCTTCGTGCTGCAGTTATCCCGCAAAACAGTTATTTCAACGAGGGAGAATCAAAACAATCTACGCAACCCCGGCGACGTAATATATTCGAATTCAATAAACATTACTTGAGTCAACTGAAGAGGTTCGTTCAAAGAGACGGCGAGTCAATTTTCACTTGAAATTTCTATAATGAATACATCTAGGAAACAATCAAGGAATTCCACAGTTTTATCTCATTCAAATGTATCATTTCTCTAATGCACATCCACCTAATTTATTATTACGAAACCAACTCATCAACGAATTTTCTCAAACTGGTGCTTTGAGCGAATCTCTCGAACTGTAAATCATATAGATCTTGTATTTACAAAATAGTAAAAGAAAAAAAATACATCAACTTCCTTTTTTCATCCTTCCTCTTTATATCCATTAATAAATCCATTACCATAGTGAATAAAATTATCAAATGGAATAGATTTCTCCGTTCAATGTGGAAATAGTAAAGTGGATGGAAGTCATCTTTACTGAATTCAGTCATGTTTTTTCCTCATGCCTCTCAAGACAAATTTAAAGATTTTCAATCATCAAATTTGGCAACGATATTGCAGGAAAACGACTAATCTGCAAACGTAGATTCTGAAACTGGACAAAAGATCGCTTTTCGCGTGGCAGAAACTCAGATTCTTTGTTCTCGTAAGGTTCAGTGATACGATCGTTGTTGAAGATACACTTCCGAATGAGATGATATTTTTAGTTGAAATAACAGCACGTATCATGTGATATCGTAATCACCTGAAATGAAATACGAATCCATAGGAATACGTTCATTCCTATGGAAGTCACGTTCTAGCTTTGGATTGATTCAACTTTTCAATCATATAAAAGGTGAAGAAAGATTTTGGTGGCCATTCGAATCGAGTGTGGTGAAACGAGTTTATCATGATACGGTTCAACTTCATAGCCTTGCTGACCTGGCTCAGCTCTGCCAATGGTGAGTATTCATAGCCGACTATCATGTACTCTGAGAAACAAACTAAAATTTTCGGGTTTCAAGATTCAATAGTTCATGAAATTTGTCATTCATGGTCAAAATTGTCATAGATGTTGAATTAAAAATTGTCTACGTGAACTTCCCAGTTTCAACTATTGTATTTCTTGGTGCAGTACAATCACAGCCACCAACAGGAGGGAGTGACCACCCGTTATATTCTCGATTCTGTCATTCTAATTCTTCCTACGGTTACTGGACATGCCTCCAGCCAGTTCCAATTATCTTTCCTTGTTATCAGCAATGCATAAAGGTAGGAGACTTAAAAGATTTATTGAGTAATCAAGGTTACGTGGTAAATATGGGTTCTAATTGTGTCCTCTCGATGCCATGTCCTCATTTGAAAAATGGCCATCAACCTCATTGAGAAGCCAATTATCGGACCAGCTGAGCCGAGTGTGAATGTCAACATAGCCAACTCCTCCACGGATATAGAGACAACAGAAAATCCCCATTCGTCTGTCAATACTGAGGAGTCAACTCTCGGCGCAGCTGAAGTGAATCTGAATATCAACACTGCTAACCTTTCCCAGGAGGTGCAGACGATAGGGACATCTCATCAGCCTCTTAATACCGAGCAGTCAATAATACCCGTTCCCAAACAGGGACCCGAAGTACAGGTTCATATTGGCAAGTTGATTCAAATATCCGGATCACTCAAAGACGAAAACGAAATGCAAGACGATCATAATCATCTCATTACTAAGAAGCCGCCTGCCCAAATTTCTGGGCTGAATATTGTTATCAACTATTACAATAACAACAACCGTAATTACGAGAGTGCCAAACACCGGAAACATAGTCCTGGTGTGGTCGAAGATCAATCATCTCATGCGCAAAAAAATCATGACGATATGAGCCTCCGGAAAAATGATTCTGCCATTGTTCGAGACTCATCGCCTGAGGCCCAAAGTAATGATGGGGATACGAATCGCCTGGAATACAATTCTATTATGATGGGATACCAACCGTACGATACCCAAAATAGTGATGACATCACGCTCCAGCAAAACGATTTTATCTCGTCTCAAGCCGGAGCTGATAAGGCGAACATGCAGTCGGAAAAAATGGACTTCTTCAAAAAGAGACAGCTAATAGAAAATCCTGAGTTTTTCGTCCTGAGAAATCGTTTATCAAAATTTATTAAACATAATCTGAATCAAATAAAGAGGTTTCTTCGAATAGGCAATGACAGTATTATTTGAAGTCGCATCGAATGCAACATTTTTTTGATTTAATAAAGATTTATTCAGAATTGAAAAACAATTAGTAATTACATCCGGCAAAGAATGATAATTCTTGAACATTGAAAAATTGTCTCAATCGTTGTGTCAGAAACAGATTTAAAAAATCAGCGCTCGGTCGCTAAGTCCATCTGGGCGCCAGCTCTCAGCGCCACTCCCTGGAATTATCATCATGGGAGAAACTTATTCAATAAGTTGCCGCAGTACCGACTGCTGTATAGCTTACCTACCACCAGTTCGTGTAGTTATTTCATTGACAGTTGGTCCATCGATTGTGTGTCCATAACATAGAAATTTCTTTTATCAGAACCAATCATAAAAGGGAATTGTGATCATTCTGCTTCGAAGTCCGAGGCAAAAAAAATGTTCATATAATCATATTATTTATGAAATCATTAATTATTGTTCATTATTATTATTTCAATGATAATATAATTTTTTTAAATTGAATAATAATTGTAATTATTTTATAAATTGAAATAATAATAATTATACTTTTATTTCAATAATTTTCATTGGTTTGTATGAATTTTACATGATTCCTGATCATGAGTATCTTGGCTGTGGTTTATTTTATTGAGACATGCTCTGGGATATTTTTTGTTTCGAAAACTCGTAGTTCTATTTGTTCATTTTTATGTTCGAATTTTTGACATTGCTGAACTACTTGATTCTACGATTTTCCAAGGAATTTATTAAATTCAATTTACGGCCAAAGTACAATGGCGATAGACAGCAGTCCATGCTCCACTAATTTCTGAACCATTTTAAACAAAGGGATTCCAAGACTAAACGTGAGATCTCAGGAAAATTCCGTTTTATTGTCAAAGTAAATGAGTCATTTACAAATGCCATAACAATCTTTAACCTCCACGAATTGTTTAAGAATGCACACACCGATTGTGCTTGCACAGTGATGTGGGAAATTCTCCAAACATATGGATAAAATAATTTTAATGATAAAAAGTTTTCCATTAGAATTGAAATATTTTTTCAACAAAGGAATTGTCAAGAGAATACAGTCAATATTTGCATCTACTCTACCAGTAGTTCAGGCAATTCTTTGTGGAGGAAATCCTCTTCAGAGTTTATAGAATAGACCTTAGAATTAGACGCTTTCTCCAATACATAATCGTATATGACTCTGTTCGTTGTACTCTCTAGATGTTTTGCGACATTGAAAAACATAAATTTCCGGACAGATAATTGCAAACAATCAAATTGAAAACTTTTTGATTGGCCCGACGGCCATATTGCGTGGCTTGAATCCGCGCATTCCTGACGTCTGGCAACAGTAAAATATTGTTGACAATATTCATTGAAGAAATTCACGAAAAAGTGTATTCAACAATGAAAAATCCGAAAAAGTATAGAAACGCCAAGATTTTCGGCACAACTGAAATCTTGCTTTGAAAAAAGTTGCTAATTTGAGCGAAGCACTTAGATATCCTTAAAAAGAGGTTGAAACCGTCAATTTTTTGGTGGCTGTCTATGCCTAGTCATCAATTTTCCCTCCTCAATTATGAGAAATAGAGGAGATCAATTTTTGGGAAAAGGTATGAGAAATTTACGTCAAAAGAAGAGAAAGCAATTGATACGTAAACGTGGCATCGAAACTTTGATAATTCATCCGTGACCGTGATGATTTATTCAAAATGAAACTGATGTGAAGCTGTCACGTACCCGCGAATGTTGCACTCTTCTTTCTCGTTATAAAAACAGAATAATCAATGAAAATAACGGCACGGATCTGGTGATATCGTAATCAGAAGTGTATTCCTATGGAAACTCACGTTCCAGCTTGCGATTGATCCATCTTCAGTTGTATAAAAGGAGAGCCGAAATTTTCATGATTAACATTTGAATTAAGTATCCTATAAAAGGTTCATCATGCTCCGACTCAGTCTTGTCGTTATCCTGGTCTGCCTCAGCTGTGCCAATAGTGAGTACTCATATTGACTACTATACACTGTTCAGAATCTATTAAAACTGCTTGAGATTTACATGGAAATTTTCAATCTTCCCATTTTGCTATTGATGAAAAATTTAATTGTTCATTACCACGCAGGAAAGAATTTAATAGAAAAACCTATCGAATTCGTTAGAAAATTCTATTGAACTTTCTATTAGTTTTTGGCTGATTCTATTGACATGTTCAATAGAAAAAGTCAACAGAATTGGATTTTTCTATATAACTTATTTTTTTAATATATTTTCTATAGAATTTGCTCGACCCAAATTTTATTTTATTAAGTTTTTTTCATTCTATTTTTCTTTTCTTCTCATCAAGAAAATCAAACGAAAAAACTTAGAAAATTTGAGCCGAGGAAATTCTATAAAAAATATCTCAATAGAATAAGTCATATAGAAAAATTGAATTCGATAGGTTTTTCTACAAAATTTTTCCGTCCGTGACGTTCTGATTTTAAAGCAAAATTTCGGAAAATTGCATTTTTCTGTCACTTGAGATTGGAATATAAATCACGAATTTACCGGAAACCAACAGATTTTCCAGTAGGAAAAACAATCTGTTGAAATTCCATAAAAATTTCTCGATATTTTCTACAAAAAAATGTAAGATTTTAATAAATTAATTTTCTGACGTAGCACGGTCCTTGAGAAAAAGGGAGACATGTTGTATGCAATACACACCGGTAATAAACTTCTCAGATTTATTTGCATCGAGGAATATTTTTTTTCGCAAGTCAACACTATTTTGGTTTTAGTTTTGCCTGTCTTGCTGCATTCCGGAATGTCCTCCACAGTCGTCTACTACTCAGAAGGCAACTAAACCTCCATCTCCTAAACCTACGACGACGACTACAACTTCGACAACACCAAAGCCAGTCGTGGGACTTGAAAGCCTATTTGACATCGACGATATCAAGGTACCATCTAACATCGTTATAAACAAACTAGAGGAGAACGGTTTCCACCCCAAAAATAATGACGACGCACTCCAGCTTTTGCGTAATTCCACAATTTATAAAAAGGTCGCACATGAGATTATGAAAGATCGCAAGGCTTAGAAGAAACATGGTGGTATATTGAGAAGTTGTCTGTCGCCACTGCTGGATTGAATGTGGAACTCAACTGAACCAACTGTTCCGAGACTAAACCAACGATATAAAATGGTTACAGTCGGAGAAATGGTTCATATGGATCAAATCAACTTTATTCGAATCAAATGAATTTCGTTTGAATCAAATAAAGGAGGCTATTCGAAAAGGCAGTGATGACCCTTTTATTCAAACTTAATCTTGGTTTTTAGTTCGGTTTTTCAATCACAAAGAATGATTCAATAGCAATGTATTCAATATAAATAGTTATGATGTACAATAAAGATGAATGTGATGGTCAAAAGTGCACTGTTTCTTACCCCTTCAGTTTTTGTAACTATGTAACTAAGAAAATTTGAATTTTCTTTTCGATGTTTAAAAAATTGAACTGAATTTTTCGGAAGAAGAACCTCGAATTCGATTTAAGGGGAAACAGTCAATGGAATGGATTCTCAGGGAATTCCTCGAAAATTCTTGGACTGCCAGGACTTTTAAATTTTCCTGATTTTTCATTGATTTCTCCGTAATAGTTAAATTAAAATTCGCAGTTACCACGGATTTTTCCATGAAATTATGAATTTTTATGATGAAATTCCGTGAAATGCCAGTGAAAATTTCACTCGTTGGAAAATTCCAAGACTCTTACCGGATATTTTAGTGGAAATTTTTTAACAGGGTACAGTGTCTTCGAAATAGTTCCATCACCAGGAGGATCCGACATTTTTTCGTAACATTTTTTTCGGAATAATCAATTAAAACGACGGAGACATTTAATGACAGCTATTTTTTCACTAAAATGTTCTGTTATATAATTTTATTCCTGGCCTCAGCGGAGTTTCAAAACTTTGTCACTTCCTTTTTGACAGTATTCTCCGATCCCATCCCTCCCCCTCCCCCCTCTCCTCTCGCTGGAAGGACTTAATTAAATCAGCGTGACTGCGGCCAGGTCCCGTTTCGCATACTCCCCCCCGCCAGTCCGATTTTAAATTGAAATGGGATCGATAGCAATGCCTCAGATGAAATCAACCCTAGATGCTCTGCATATCTTTCGCTATTATCAGCGATAACTGGAATAATAGCTTTTCGATGGATAACTTTAATAAAATTTTCATTCAAAGCCATATATGTGAAATGTAAAATAGAAATTGAATGACTTCACGAGAATTTAACTGCCCTAGTACCTAGCATTTCTCAATTTGTCAGGGAAAAATGTCACGATTTTGCGTGAGGCAATTAATACCGCTTAAGGGTTGAAGTGAAAAAAAATGAGAAAAAATGATTCTCCATTTTTTAACATAAAAACCATTAAGGATCCAAAAAAATTCGAAGTTCGACATTTCGCGGAAGATTTTTAAAACAATTAATAATTAATTTTATGCAAATGCATATCTTTAATGAAGATTAAATTGCGATATTTCCCATCCTGATTCCTCAGAATAAACGCGTTGAGACAGAACAGAGCGAACAAAGCCGTCAGGTCGTAACAAAGAGGCGCAAAGACATTCGCACCGTCAGATATTAAATTGTCCGCAGTCTCGGGAGCCCTTTGTCCTCCCGTGTCAGAGCTACAAGACGACAGATGTCTCTAATACATATTCATATAGAGCCGCGGCACGACGAGCCCACCCGACGCACTCGGATTTCCACAATTTCGCCGTTATTGCGTAGAATCGCGTGTCGTTGTTATTATTAAACCACTCCACGTACCCACTGTGCTCTGGACCTGGAAATTTAACTGAAGAGGGCCCTAAAATTTGCGGATGATTTCGGCCGATGGGGGAGCCCGACCCCAGTGAAAATCTCGCGCTCAAACGAGACACCGGGATGTGTATAACAGTCTCGAGTGGAACTTTGCGGCGCTTTTGAGCACTTGGTTATGTTTGAACAACGAGTTTATATCCAACAGTTGTCAAACGCTAGAGACTGGGTTATACGAGCACTCGCATCACTCTCACTCTCGGGAAAAGTTTGATCAAACGTTCCAGCCTTGGGCAAACAGGCGCCTAATGAATTGCCAACTTTGTTACTTATTTCTGCGCTATCTCTCTCCCTTGATTTCTCCTCTTTTACGATTCATCAAGTGAGGGAGGAACATCACGGAAAAAACATCATTAAAAATTACGTAACAATACGTAAAAGTGAAAACCGCGGGAAAAATTCCTAACGGAAAATAATTTTTTTTTCTTGGGTTCTGGAAATTTTATGGATGGAAATTTCATTGGACTTTTTTCGCAACTTTTCTTCGCGATGATTAAAAATCTCGTATTTAATGCCTGATATGTAATGTATTCTACTTATTTAACAACAATCTGCAACTGTAAATAAACTAATTCGGTTTTAACAATTGAACTGCTATTTCATTAAAAACGCCCAGAAAATGGTTTATTTGAATTAAGTAAATAAATAAATAGTCCTCCATTAGATGAATTAAATAAATAAAAATTAAGTAGATAAATAAATAATCCTAAACAAACGATTCATTTGATTTCAATAAAAACTGCGAAAATGTTTGCACCTTTCAATGTTAAAGGCTTCCTCAGTAAACTGAACATAAGATCAATTCTAGCTGTTGATTTCTTCTTTAAAAAAAATGAAAGTAAATGTATGAGATATTAATGTGGATTATCAATTATTCTTTCATTTTTGCATTATGAATATTACTCTTCAGCAGACTAAATCAATTAATTCCAAAAAACAATTTTTATACGTGTATTTTAATTTGATTTAGTCGACCCTGCAATGGATTTCCTTGAATGAGTAAATAAATAAATAGATAAATCTGTGAATAACTGTAAAAAAAATGAACATGTTCATTGTTCACCTACTTTCAAAAGAAAAGCATCAGCGAAAAGTTATGCTCGTCAATTCATGCGTAAAATGAGAAATAAATGTAACAAAACATGACAGCGTTGTGTACGGCTAATGGAGTTGTCCGCGACGGCGCGAATTCAAAATAAACATTCAGAAATGCCAGAACGTGACATAATTTAAATTCGCTTATTCGCATCGTCTGCACATGTCATACGTTGCACTTCTCAGTGTCAATAGTTGCCGTAAGATGTTTACATTAATAACAGGAATGCTGCTGTTGGATGCAATAACACAGTCCTCCGTAACCTAGTGGGAAGAATTGAGTTTTATTACATCTTGTACGTTCCACTGAGCCATTATTGTCTGCGAAATACTGAAATAGCAGTTTTGAACTTCTCGAATTGACTACGGGCTTCGAGGCGCCTCAGTATTCCCCGAAAATCCTCCCAATCCTCATCTTCCCCCCGAAATGACGTTAAACTTGATAATCTATTATACTGTCTCGAGAGCACAGACACGGCAATCTTCATGTTACCAAAATTCATCTGAATAATTTCCATAAATTCACGGAATTCTGAGATAGTTTTCCGCGGTAATGTCTCGTCTCGCGATGCAACGGGAGTGGAAATTTCAATCCATCGCTTCCCGGATTGACTTGCAGTCACACTTGGTGCTTTCAACATTTACTTTTATGAAAAATTTCCCGAAAAATGAAGCATAAAGTAAAATGTTGGAATCGAAGGAGAAATAAGGGTATAGAGAAGCGCAAAAAAAGAGGTGAGTGATATCCACATCCTATAGTCTATTGGCAACTGATTCACGAGATATTGCGGGACAAAAAGTCACAACAGAAATCCGCAAAAACTCAGCGATAATTATCTTTTTTTTTATTTCCCCTGGAAATAACGATGGTCTCTCAAGATTTTTGACTTGAAGTAACAATTATTCATTCTTTAATTTTCAAAGCAATTCAGTGACGAAGGGGTAAAACGGTTCAAGCCGACTCATCTCCCAGTTCATTTTTTGAGGAATAGCTCCGAATCTAAGGGAGATAGAGAAATTTTCGTAATTACATTTGTTGTAGCATTCAATCGGCTTCACAGAAAAGGTTATGACAGCAATTTTACTATCTCCCTTAGATTCTGAGATATTCATTGAAAACTGGTCAATAATCAAAATTGACTTGTACGGTTTACCACTTCGCTACTGAATTATATTGCTTAGGGAATACCATTTTTTAAGTGAATTTAGTTCTCACAAATGAATATACTAAATTAATTTATACACTTCGCCCTGAATTTTGTTCCCAATTTCTCAATGTATTTAGTCTCTACATGAATTCATACAATTCTGAGGGAGTTTTCCGCATGGGTATTTTGCCTCTCAATCACAACTGATTCGTGAGACATGTCGGGACAAAAAGTCACAGCAAAAACCCGCGAAAACTCGCTGGGAATAATTTTTTTTATTTATCCAATCTCGATATAATTGCCATTTCCTCCGGTTTATCTCAATTGCTCAACATATTTGTCTCTACGATATCGAAATGCACTTTGCAAATTCATCTGAACAATTCCCATGACTTTTAGAATGCTGAGATGGTCTTCCGCATTGATATCTCACCTCTGAATGCAATGTGGGTGAGAATTTTAATCGATTGCTCGGCAGATTGACTTGCAAATCGGTGCTGGGCTGGCGGCGCGTCAGTGTTGGGATCGGCCTTGGTACTTTCAACACGTACCTCTCCGGAAAATTTCCCCAAAAATGGAGGATAAATAAGAGTGTTGGAATCCAAGGAGAAGCGAGGATGAAGAGAAGCACAAAGGACGCGGTAAGTGACATCCTTCATCCTAGTCTCCCATTCGCAACTGAACGCGAGACATTTCGGGACAAAAAGTCACAGCAAAAACCCGCAAACCTCACTGATAACTATATTTTTTTTTATGTATTCAACCTCCACAATTGCCACTTTCCCCGGTTTATCTCAACTTCTCAACGTATTTGTCTCCGCGATATCGAAATACACTTTGTACCTTGGATACGTTTGGTGCAACAGCCGGTTGCTAGGTGGTGTTTGCCCTTCCGAGGGCCGCACCCTCTAATCCATAATGGCCTTAACGCCCCGTTGAATACGTGTTGCTCGTCTCTACACTAGCATCATCCGTCTGTCCCCCGCCCACCGAATATAATTGACGAATTCGATATCTCAACCGCTGTTTGTTTTTGTTGGAGCGTTCGGGGATTGTTCCGAGGGATATTGTCCCGGTGGAAGGCTTTGCAGGCCCTGTAAATGGGTCGATACTACATTTCAATCATTTCAGTTCGGATTTTGCAATGAATTCAGGACGAGCTGAATTTTTTCGCTTGTCCTGGACAATTCTTGTCTGACGGTGCCACTGAATATTCTTCAGAAATTCTAAACAATTAGGTTTTATCCAATTCATTCTAAACAATTAATTTTTACTGCCAAAATATTTCACGTTGTCCCAAGATTTT